GCAGGATAGAGCAGGGTTTAGAGCTGTTGTGCATAGGGTCGCTATGAGTTGGAAACGACTCGATGGCACATAACAACAACAACATAGCAGTAACTACTTTGTTCCATGAAATTGGTGTGTAGCTTATTACCTGACTGTCAGCTGAGAGGCCTAAATTAAAATGCTGTAGCATATCACCCACTAAAGACAGGAATTTGACTGGGTTTAAATACTTCGCATTACAGAATTAGTTTCTAATAAGATGCTCTTCCATGAGCGCTATAGTTTTATGGAGAGTTATTTTTTCCTTAAAATAAAAAAACAAAGTTTTCTTCTGTAGACTTACTAAACTTTCTTATTATAGTACACTCTGTAACTTGGCTACTGTCCGTGCTTAAAATAAGAAGAAGAAAAAAATCACCTGCTCAGGACTGTTTGGATTTGGGAAGTATGCAGAAGAACAATTATTTAAAGTTCTCAGACAGGATGTGATTCCATTGAACAAATGTATAGAAATTCCAAGTTTGCACAATCTGGGTTCTATGGAAATGAATTGCTTCTGTGACTTTGGGGAGAGAGGAGACAAGGGCATTTGTATTTGTATATAGGGTGGGTCATTTCTCTTCAGTCCTGGAGGCTGTGTGATGATAAAGACAACTTTTAAGCTGAAATTCTTTGAGGCAAGGAGAATATTTTGCCCATTGTACTTGTGAGTTTGCTTGACATTTATGGAAGTGTACTGTTAGGTTGCTGTATGTTACTGAGACCATTTTGACTCCTATCAAGTTAATAGTCCAGAGGAGAACTGCCTCTAGGGTTTCCTGGGAGCAGATCACCAGGCCTTTTCTCCTGCAGAGCTTAGCGTTCTTACTGTTACACCACCAACCGTTCCTGCAATACTGTTTCTAAAATCTGACAGTGCAGTACTCTACCTGGACTTGATTTACCTACTTCTCCTTAAATCTGGATGTAAGCAGCATTTCCTGAGAAATGCCTTCCTTGATCTTGTCTGATTGATGGGGACATTCACCATGCCTTGCAGATAATGCTTGTTTAATTTGTGTCCTCTGCACTAAATCACTAGTGTAGACCATGTTGTTAGCACTGTTTCTCTGACTCCTAGGACAGTGCCTGGCACACACTTGGCGCTCAGTATGTTAACTGCCTGGAGCAACTCAATCCCTATGAATCCATCTGAAATAAATCTGGTGTGGGTGTACTATAAGCAATCTGTTTCTTGCTTGGTATGACTTATGTTGGTTAGACATGCCACCCAACATCTGATCATTCATGTCAATGGTTTTTAAAAATATGCCTATTGTCTCTGCTTATTGGGAAGCTGAGCAGAAAGAAAACAGTGTCTGTTTTCAGAACTGGCACTGGCAGAAGCATTAACTGATGCAGGTCCCTGCCCATGGGTGGAGCAGTGGGGTGACTCTGCTCCCAGCACCTCATTGGCCCATCCTCCACCCTCTGTTCTCCTGGGAAGTCAAGTATGGATTTTGTCTGCTAGTTACCTTTAGCCCAGTGGGCAGTATCGTAGGGCTCGGCATGTGACTAATGCCCTGTGAGACCTTGGCAGGCCCGGTAAGCACCGGCTGAGCCCCCACCCTCCCACCCCCGCCGGCAGCCCTGTCTTCTGTTTCTGCAGTCCTGTGTCACCTAGCAGTCAGCTGTTGGTGCCACAGATGGTGAGTCCTTTTCTAAGTGCTGGTACTTTCGCTCCACTATTATGACCTCAAGAAATTTGCTTATCTTGTTTCTTGTTTGTTGTCATGTTAAAACCTCAGACTTTGCTCTGTCTCCGTGTGTGTGTGTGTGTGTGTGTGTGTGTGTGTATACACACATATATATTTATACACGTACACGGGAGCCTTTGTAGTGCAAGACTGAATCAGCCAAGCTCTTACAGTATTGATGACAATTAGGGACAACTTGATATTCTGCTGTTCTGTGGAATAATGCAATATTATACATTTAAACTTAAACAAATTTCTACATTCGAAAATAGAAAAAAATCTTCCCAGTCTTGTGACCTAATTATTAAAAAAAACATGTTGCAATATACCAGCTGAACTTAGAGTTACCGTGTTAACAGTTATTAACTTGTCAGCAGCCTTTGAGAAAAGCTTTTCAGATTTATACTATTCTTTCCTTCCACTTATGTCCAAACATACTATAGGTCACAGTGCCTCAATAATTTTATAAGTAGATTTAATATTATATATTATGTGTTCTGCATATTTTTTAATTTTTTACTCTTTGTAAATGTGCAGATTATAACATCCAGTTTGGAGCTTTAATTGTATTTTAAATTGTTCATTTAATTTTCTTACTGATGTTTTTGGTTCTTAATTTTGTTGTAAATGCCAGTACTTAAAACATTTTTGACCATTTTCTGTTGATTGACACCATTCTAAGAACTTTATGTGAATTCATTCAGTCCTCATAAAAGCACTGTGAAATACAGGTACTATCTTTATCTCCATTTGGAGGTGAAATTGGTGTATAGAAAGATTAAGTAATTTTGCCCAAAATTATACAGCCAATGAGCTGGAGAGGCAAAATTTGGGTTTTGGTTCCAGAATCTAAGCTCTTAAGTACTTTTCTCTGTTATGTTCTAAGCACTGTGCTTATAATTTCTCCCTAATGTTTGCTGGTTAATTTAAAATTTATGTTCACCAACTTCTTATTCTTTTCCTAGATATAAGATCTAGGGTAATAGGAAAGAAAACTCTGTTGACAGAATACCTGCTAAATTTCTTAACATTTACAATTTTGCTTCTGAGATGTGAAGAGTATAGGTGAGACAAAAGACACTGAAATTTAGATTGGTGTGTTTTACCAGTTGGGGAACTTGTTGGAAAAGAATGGAAATGGAGGCCTTTAGGTTGTTTGGGCTTGTTTGTGTGTCTTCATTCTTACCTTCTTTAACTGTGGTAATGAGAGTTGTTTGAACTTGACCAAGTGGAAGGAACTGGAAGTACATTATCAGGGCAGAAGGTGGAAATTTATGCCATTTACTTGAACCATTTTATGGCAAGAATCTTTGTGTATAAAGTCCTTTTGCCCCCTCAGTGGTTAATGAAAATTTCACTAAGAATCATAGAGAAATAGAAGTAAAATGAATTTCTAATATCCTTTTAGTGAAATGGAATTTGCCTGCAAGAAAAAGGCCTTAACCGTGAATTAAATGGTTGGCTTCTGGGAATTCTGCAGAAGAGCCCTGCCTCTCTGGAATGAATATGACATTTTTCTCTTCCAACAGAATTCTGCTTAGAGAACCACCAACACAGGACAATGCAAGCCCACGAGTTGTTCGGGTATTTTCGAATGCCAGAGCTGGTTGACTTCCGACAGTACGTTCGTACTCTTCCAACCAACACACTCATGGGCTTCGGAGCGTTTGCAGCTCTCACCACTTTCTGGTACGCCACGAGACCCAAAGCCCTGAAGCCGCCATGCGACCTCTCCATGCAGTCAGTGGAAGTGGCGGTAAGTGGACAGTGTCACGAGCATTGTCATCTTTTTCCCATTTCCCCACACTCCTTAAGCCCCAGTGAAGGTAATATTGATTGAACCTGCACTCACAAGGCATTGTTTGTGTGTGTAATTTGTAAATAGAAATTGCTCAGCAGAGTTGTTGATGATAATACAGAGAGGTGGAAGCCAAACTACAAGGCTGAGAGACAAATGAGATGGTGTCCACCCATGGTCTTGCTGAGGTTCATTCTAGAAATGACATTGAGCGTCTGTCTGTGGTAGGCATTGTGAGAGATCCAGAGGGTTCTGTCAGTGGAAAAAGACAGACTTGGCGTCCCTTCCTATGGAGATGTTTAGTCCAGCAGAGAAGAGAGTTAACTCTTTTAGACAGAGTGATTTCTTATCCTTGGAACATAGTCTCGAGTATTGAAGGCTATGACTCAGATTTCCAACAGGATAAGGCAAGTCAAGGAAGTTAGCAATACAAAACAGCTGTAGAATTTAGGATGGGAGCAACCAAACAGGCACATCTCAAGGTTTTCAAGGTTGGCTTGTTTGACTGTCATGGCTGTATGTGACCTGGGCAAATTAAAGCTTGTGTTCCCATAATCCCCTAAAGTAAACAGACATATTTGTTATAATTGAGGATTAGTAGAGATGGAATAACATAAACCAAACCAAACTCATTGCTGTCAAGTTAATTCCAACTCACAGAGACCACATCAGACAAGTCGACTGGCCTCATAAGGGTTTAAGGGTTCCTAAAAGAAGGAGGAGACTGGCCTCTCAGAGAGATGGTAAATCTTTACTGAAACAGATTGCTAGAAATTTCTCCTGGTGTGTTCAAACTCTTGACCTTTTTCCACTATGGGACAAGTGTTTAACCACTGAGACAATATTTTAATACCCTCTCAGATTTTTAGTGCCTCAGCTTTATCCTCCAACCCCTTCTTATTTTCTTTTCAGAGTTAATAAAATATATGAGGAGTTGAAAAGATGAAGAGAACAGGTTCTCAGTGCTTTGCTCTTCACCTGGTCTTTGCTAACAATTGCTTGTTTTCTTCTCCCCAAGTCAGAACAGACGCTCAGTATTTAATATTTTCACCATATGCACGGAAAAGCGAGAGCACAGTCAAGTGCAAGGTCGTGTCATGTGCTCTTTTACAGATGTGGAGGTGAAAGGTCTTCCTGCTTCCCCTAGTGGGATGGATTTGCAATAGGACCGTGGCTGCAGCCCCTCCAGTGAGGTCCTAGCCTCGCCCATAGCTTTTTCTTTATAGGATTTCAATTCTTTGTTTTGTTTTTAGAAGTCTCTTGGAGTCATTCCTGTAGAATTCGTACAGTGTTAAACTCAGCTCATTGCTGTCAAGTCCGAACCAATTTGTAGCTGATTTACAGCAAATTTTCAGAAGCTGTAAATCATGCAGAAGGAGATTGTCCATCTTTCTCTAAAAGAGCCATGGGCCTTTGGGCTGGCAGGACAATTCTTTACCACTTAGCCACCAGAGCTCTCTCTTAAAGTACATATAAAATATGACCAAAACCTTAACACACACCCAATGCTAGAGAGTCAATTCTGACTTATAGTGACCCTGTGGGAACATAATGACTCCATAGAACTGTGCCATTGGGTGTCCAAACAGTAAACTTTACTACTATATTTTTCTTGACTGGTAGGTATGAACGGCTGACCTGTTGGTTAGCAGCCGGGCACTTAACTCCTCCCGAGACTCTTTATAGAAAAGATATGTCAGTCTAATTCATGCCAAAATATAAAACAGAATGATTGAGCTACTGTTTCGGAATGTTTACACTTTGTTTCTGTTTAGAAAGTAAATATAAGAGATTGTTGGGGTATCAGAACCAACTCATAGCCAATTCTCAGGGTTTCCAAGTCTATAAATCTAGGTGAATGGGGAAAAGAGTGCCCATCTTTCTCGTGGAGACCCCCTGATGGATTTGAACTGCCAAAAAGACATGGCCTTTGTGTCAGAAATTCAGTATACCAAGGGCATTTAACTCTTTGGATAAAAAAAAAAAAAAAATTGTGGCAAGCATTAAGAATGGAAATCCCAGAACACTTTATTGCACTCATATAAAACCTATATCTTGACCAAGAAGCTGTTGTCTGAACACAGCAAGAGAGTACTGTGTGGTTAAAAATCAAGAAAGAATGTGTCAGAGATGTCTCCATTCTCCATACCTTTTCAAGCTGTATGCTTAACAGCTCATTTGACAGACTGGACTTTTTAAAGCAGAATGTGGCTCAAGATTGGAAGAATACTCATAAATAAACTACATTGTGCAGATGGCACAACTTTGCTTGCCAAAACTCAAGAGACTTTAGGTACTTGCTGCAGAAGATCAAGGACTGCATCCTTCAACATGAATTGCATCTAAATGTTAAGAAAACAAAAATCCTCACCACCAGATCAAGAGGTAGTATCAAGGTAGATGGAGAGAAAAAAAAATGTATGTTGTTAACGGTTTCATTTTGTTCAGATCCATAATCAACACCCTTGACGGCAGCAGTAAGGAACTCGATAGACCAGTTGCGTTGTGAAAATCTGTCATCAAGGACCTACCCAGAGTGCTCAAGAACACTTATGCCAGTCTAAAAGACTAAGGGGCACCTTCCCCAGGCCATATTCATCTCAGTTGCTTGCTGTGCATCTCAGACCAGGACGATGACTATGGATGACAGAAAAAGAATCAATGCCTTTGAGTTGTGCTGGAGAACAGTATTGAACATAATATGGACTCTAAGAGAACAAACAGATCTGTCCTGGAGAAGGTAAAACCAGGTTACTTCTTGGAGGAAAGAATTTTAAAACTTTGTCTCATGTACTTTGGACACATTGCCAGGAAGGATCAGGCAGGCCTTGGAGAAGGATATCATGCTTGGAAGGGTGGAAGGTAAGCCCAAGAGAGTAGGATCCTGAATGAGATGGATTGACAGAATGACTGTGGCAGTGGGGTCAGGTGGTTTGAAGATGGTGAAGTTGGCTCAGGATAGATAGGACAAGGTTCAGAGCCATTGTTCATGGTGTTGCTATGAATCATAGTTAACTAGGTGGAACATAACAACAACATAGCAACTTTGCTAATATGATATGCAGGAAATTGAACATGTTTTTCTGGAAATTGCCACAACATTTGAGGGCATTTTCAATAAGCAGTCCAACAGTTGGGAGAGCAGGCTAGAAAAGGTGTTTTAATGGATTGTTTTTATTGAGAAGTGTTCATTCTGATAATGAGAACACATCAGCACTTTTGGTAACTACAGATAACTTTTAACACATTTTGTAAAACTCCAGAAGCTTCTTAAGAAGAAACCATGAAAACCTTGCTATAAATTACATTTTCTTACTCAACTCACATTTTAGGAAATATAATTGTAGGAACTGTAATAGAGCATCTCTTTAATGTGTTGCTAGACCTGGGTGCTAACTTAGAAACACTTGTAGGAAGTGTTTAGTGATTTAAAGTAGGTGAAAAAGTATCTTGCTGTTGAAGGAGTGTAGCCTCTGACTTTATTTCTGATCCTGGTGTCAACCCACAAGTAGTTAAGTAGCTGCTTTTAGGAATTAACAAGAAATACTTACTAATAAAGATAAAAAATGAGAGGTTGTTGTTGTATGTGCCGTCAAATCGCCTGCAGCTAATAGCGACCCTATGTACTACAGACCTATAAACCCTGCTCTATCCTGTGCTAATCTTATTTGACACACCTACCCTGATTACCCCAGTCACTGAATCAATCTACCACAGAGAGGGTCTTCCCCTACTGCGCTTTCCCTCCACGCTCCCAAGCATGATGTCCCAGTCCAAAGACTGGCCCCTCCTTGCAGTATGTCCAAAGTATGCAGACAAAGCTTCATAATCCTTGCCTCCCAGGAGCAGCCTAGTTTCACCTTTTCCAGGATAAACCTGTTTGTTTTCTTAGCAGTCTATTAGTTTATTCAATACTCTTCTCCAGCACCACAGCTCAAAGACATCAATTCTCCTTCTATCATCCCTTGTCATTGACCAGCTCTCTGATGCATAGCAAGTGAGTGCAAAGACCATGGCCTATATCAGGCACACCTTAGTCTACAGACTGACATCATTGCTTTTCAGTACTTTGGAGATGTCTCTGACAGCAGACTTTCCCAATGCAATACATCTTTTTATTTCCTGGCTTCTGGAACTAAGAGTTTTGATTGTGTAACCAAGCAAACTAAGGCTGTTAAATCTCTGTCTCTTCGCCATCGATCATGATGTTTCCAATCGGCCCAGTGGTGAGAATCTTTGTTTTCTTAATAGTGAGCTTCAATCTATATTGAAGGCTGCAGTCTTTGACCTTCTGCAGTAAGTGCTTCAGGTCCTCTTCAGTTTCAGCAAGCAGGGTTGTGTCATCTGCATAAAGCAGGTTGTTGATGAGTCTTCCTCCAATCCTGATGCCACATTTCTCTTTGTAGAGCCCAGCCTCCAGGATAATGTGTTCTGCATGTAGATTGTAAAGGTATGGAGATAGGACACATTTCTGGCATAGACGCTTTCCAAATTTGAACTATGCAGTATATTTCCCTGTTCTGTTTTAAAGACTGCCTCCTTGTTTAAGAATAGACTTTGCACATACAGGATCAAGTGGTCTGGAATTCCCGTTGTTCAGTGTCTTTGCATAGTCAATGAAACCCAGGTCCCTCTGATACTCCTTGTTTTCAGCCAACATCCATCGAACATTAGCTACAATATCCCTAGTACCACAGAGAAGTTGAATGTTGTTAAAAAACAATCATAAAAATTTCATTTAAGGGAGTTCCCTTTGAGAAACAAAAGCTATATAGTTGACAGTAAAGCAAGCCTAGAAAAGGTAGTAGTGAATAAGAAAAACACAATTCGATTTTTCACAAATGATGCCACTTCTCACAGACATCATTAAGCAAGAAATATGCACGTACATAAATGATTTGGTATGATATTTATTTTCATTTCGATTTTTCACAAATGATGCCACTTCTCACAGACAT